GCTGTCCCCCATGACTTGGGACTATCTATGGATGCCATAATAGATTTCAAACATGGATCTTCATTCACAGAAACATATATCATTTCAGAAATCATAGCTTGATATATCACATTTGGAACATAATTTCATATAAACGTATCTTTACGATAACGTTACTCACAGTGGTTCTGTAGGTGGTCAATCAATTCTCGGACGTTGACCTACAAACACAAGGCACATAACACAACGTATCTTATCATTACACATGCAAGTGGCCAACACGGCTTAGCTTACATTACGTTGGTTCATGTTCATTCTTATCACAATGCTTAGAACACACACACACCCTTGCATTCTCTTTAACTTAACACATTCATTTCTTAGTGTGTTTCTAACCCATAACCTCATTACCATAGCTTAATTAAGGCTTAGGAATGCCTAGGATGCAATGAGGATGCCAAAACATGCCTTGGAACACTTTGTGAAATTTCTGAAAATTAGGTCCCCCGCTCGAGCGGGCATGCTGACAAAGGGGCTCCGCTCGAGCGTGTGTTCCCCCGCTCGAGCGGACTGTAAAATTCGACCAAAGTACTGGATGCACAAAATCTCCGCTCGAGCGGCTTTCAAAAATCTGGGTTTTCCAGATTGCATCCTTTAGCTCCAAATCAACTTTTGACCTTTCAAAACTCATTTTCTGGGCATGCAACTTTGAAAATCACCTAAGGACTCATGAAATCACATGTTTAAAACATCATTTCAAGAAGCCATGGCTCAAAAGCAAATCATTTGTACAAAATTCATCTTGAAACCCAAAATCAATTCATGAACATGACATGCAAGAACTTCTACCACTTTAAACCTTCCAAACATGATCAAACTTGGTAATTTTATGGAAAACAAGTTGAACGACCAAAATGTAAAAGAAGTTAACTCATGCAAGAGAGAATTCTTGGAAAACATGCTCAATTTGCCATAAAATACACATGCATGCATGGAGTGTAACTCAACTCCTCTTCTAAGCTCAAATTACATGATTAAACTCATAATCTTGAAGAAATCTCATGCTAGGTGACTTAGGTTCACAAATTAGAGGTCGAATTCTCACCTAGAGTCTTCAATTCAAGGTAGAGAAGCTCAATGTTTGTAAAACTCCTTTAATCTTCCAATTCTTTAAGCAAAACCAAGATGAAATCAAGCTCTCTCTCTCTCTTAGTCTCCTCTCACTCGGCTATAGCAAGGAAAATGGCTGAGCAAATGGTATGAAAGGCTCTTAACCAAGTCTTAAATAATGGTGTAGAGTAAGGCCACTCAATGGCATTTAGGTAAATAATCAAACTAATGTGTTTTAACATTATTTAATCCAATTTAATCATACCAAATCACATTTTAATAAAATATACCATAAAATCACATTAATTCTAGTGATCGTAAAACGTTAATCAATTTCTGGTTCGGCCGCCGATAAGGCCGTCAATTTACAGTTTAAACCATTAAACATGAACAGATAATTTAACGGTCAACAGACAGACGACCAATTATGATACAAATTACATATCCCGTAATTAATCTTATTCACTTAATTAACATCCTTAATCACTGATTAGTGGCTAATTACGGATCGGGGTTATTACAGCCTTGTTGTCAGAAATGGCATCCCTCAGGCTCTGCCGCTCGTGGGCCAGATGGTTCTTTTGTGCGGCCTGAAAAAAAATCACGACTGTCAGAAGATGAAACCGAGCAAAAACTTAATCAACAAAAGTGACTGACAACTTACCAGCACTATTGATTTCGCTGCCGAGCGGAGAACCTTCAGGTCCGATAGCTCGTCATGTTTCTTCATGTCGGCAGACAGGAGCAACCCTTTGGTCATGTTAAAACCGAGTGAGTAGTCCTTATTCGCGTAAACAGAATCTGCCGCGGAGACAACCCGGCCTTTGTATTTGAATTCGGGCGACCAGACCGAGGGGGCACTAGGGCTCCTGGATGGCCCGCTGATTGGTTGTTCGGTCTGGTCCCCCAGGTCGATCGAAGCCTGCTCGGTGGAGTCCTCGTCCACCAAATGTTGTCCGGCGGGATCTTTCCTCGGCCGTTTCTTCGACCGGCCATGTGCTTGTTCGTTGGCAAGAGCCAGCACAGCCCCCTCCTTTTGCCCGGCTGGAGTGGAGGAAGTCTCCCCAGATGCCTCTGGTGGCTGGAAGTCACTCGATTCATCGGTGATCATTGATTTGATTGCTCGGATTTTGGCCATTTCTTGCTCGGCAGTAAGAGGAACAAGTTTGATCGGCAGAAGATTTGGGTCAGGTTCTGGGGAAGGAGCACGAAGAAAGTTGGTAACCCGGCTTTTGCGCGGCGCTTTGTAGTTGTAGGTCGGTTCGAAGCCTAGCAATTTGGGAGATTCGCGCTCCTCGGCAGGATGACGCAGTAAGACTCTTATGGCCTCTTGGTTAGCCCGATAGTAGTCTTCTGCTAAGTGCTTGTAATCTGCAAAAAGAAGAAGTGTCAGACCGGCATAGAGAGAAACTAATGCAGAAAGAAGATAGTGCGGTCAGCCGAGCTACTCACCAGCACTGCTAAAATCTTTCCTAATATACCAGCCCGGTATGGGCGCCTCGGTGTCCTCGTAATGACCGGACACCCACAGGAAGTCATCGTCATTGGTTTCCTTATCCGGGTTGTCCTCAATGAGTTTTGCTCGGTCCTTCTTTACCTTCAGGTACCAGCAAAACCTACCTTTATTCTTGATGAGGTTGTATTGATGAAATATCTCAGCGAGGCCGAGATTAAGACCGAGCCACCTATTCAGCTCGGCCACGCCGTTTATTATTTTGTACGTGTTGTTTGAGACTTGGGTTGGACAAAGCCTTGTCTGCCTCAAAAATTCGTAGATCAAGGGCTGGATCGGGAAGCGAAGCCCTTCCTCCACTATGGATACGACCGTGAAGGGGCACCGGTCTAGGTCGCCCCAAGGGGTATCTCCGTTCTTGGCCAGCTCTAAAATGACATCATCCGGAATGTTGTACTCCCTACAAAACTCGGCTAGTGCACCAAGCGAGCTCACCATGAATCGGTACTTCTCCATCTACCTCGGTTTTATTTATGGAGTGATTTAATGTATCTCGGTTAAATTTTTTTTGTGTTTGCTTGGACGTTGAGCTTCACCAGCGGTAATGCTGAAGGGGCCTGGTCAGTCCTAGTTTGTTCTGTATCGTTAAAAAATAATTCCAAGGGTTAGCGCGGCATAAATTGCACGGCTTCTGTTTGGAACTCCTAGCTCGGTCAAAAGTCTGCGCTACATTTGGTCGGTCTAACCCCTACGTCGGCTTTGCTATCTAGCCGGTTTGGCCCCTAGTTCGGATCAGGCTTTCAGCTCGGTCGCGGCCTCAACGAGAAGCCACCAACAAGTTTTTGCTCGGCTAAGTCCTATTTGTGGATCTAAATGAGGATTTAGCTCGGTTTTACCCAGATTCGAAGTTGTTCATTCTAAGTACAGAGTTCGTGCTTTAAGGCTTAGGGAGGCAGGGGGCACGAGAGCCCCAACTGCTCCCCCAGTTTCAGTTTTCTCTAGGGTGAATCACTGTTACCCGAAAGGGGGGTGACTAATGTGACACCAACAAGATCTAAACAGTGACGAAGAACATAATGAACACAAGCACAAAAATATGAAGACCACGAAGAATAGGGGTGAAGAGGCTTACCGATGGCAGATGCGAGGAGGGGATTGATCAACCACGAGCCTGATTATAGCTTGGGAATGAACAAAAACGAATGAAGACGGCGCGAAGTGTAGCAAAGGCGACAATGGCGGAAGCTTGGATGTTGGGAGCTAGGGTTTTAGGCTCGAAGTGAAAATGAACAGTGAAGGGTTCAAATGACCCTTCGTGTGATATTAAAAGAGGTGGGAAACCCCAAAGGGCACTGTCGTTTGAATTTCGAGCATGGGAAGACAGCTGTGGGGTTGTACGGTTCAATGGCGTGAGGCCACGTGGCATCGAGAGCACGGCTGTCAGTTCGACTGTACGACTCTTGACAAGATTACTGAAGCAATGACCGACCAAATGGGATAGCTCAGTAACGGCTTCGAAGCCGATCACGCTCGGCTTGGTACAGGCGCAACTCGAGGACCGTTAGCTCGGTCATGGTGGTAACCCCAATCACGATTAGCTCGGATGGGATTAAGGGGCAATTGAGAGGGAAGATTTGCACCTAACAGTACGGCGTCGAGCTACGATAATGCGAGTTGTGACAAACCTCACGGCGCCGAGCAGTTTTCTCTATGGGCATGGCCCTTCGGCCTGTCGTGCACGGCCGAGGAGATTGGTCGACCAGGCATAGACTAAGGCCTAGCCGAGGTGTGACTTAGACATTCGGCAGGGCACACAGTGGTGTGAAGCAACCAAGCTAAGGGCAGCCTGGGCTAGGCCGAGGATGGGGCGAGGACCGACATGCCTCCAACCGGTCTGCCGAGATGGCCGGACTTGATGTAACCTGGAATGAAGGTAGAGCGGGGAAAGGCCGGCATGCCTCACCACCGGTCAGCCGGGATGGACCGATCACACGAAGCCCGGCCATGAGAATCATACTTTTGCTTCTTTCCAAGGGATAGGTCGGCGAGACACAGCTCGGCTGTGTTGCTTGTGGTGGCAATTCTCCATGAGGGGTAGGCCGGCCGTGGTACTCCGGTTAAGTGTGCCACCTGGGCCAATGGCGTGAGGGAGAGGAAACCTACTCCAGGCACGCGTCGATACCGTTTGGCAGTTCTGCATGTACTGGTTGGAGGATTAGGCCTTTACACGCGTAAGGTGGTGAGAGGCGAGCACTGCCACCTGTCCAGGGAAGGACGGCAGGGGTAATGCGCGCACAATCCTGAGGCTACATGGCCAGCCTAGAAATAGGAATGGAAGACGAACGTTAGAGGTATGCCATCTGAAACACACTCTCTCTCTCTCTAACAGCCTTCTTCTTCCTCAAGTGACCTAACTTGATCGTCGGAGGGTCTATCCGGCAAACCACTGCCGGGCAGCTCACCGTTTCTGTGTTGCTAGGTTAGACGCCGTCACGAGAACCTTGAGTCCAAGGAGTACGAAAAGCACTGGATATTTCGCCCCCGTACAAATGCTATCAATATCTTCGATCTTATCCCACCCAAAATCTTCTTCTTCCTCAGGTACTAATGATGGTTGGCTTGAGACATCGGAAAAGTCACTATCTTTACACGATCCGCCATTTTCTGTCTTTCTTTCCGAATCCAATTCATCAGATCTTGCCTTCGACATGCTGCCACTTGATTCAGATCCATCATCCAAATGCACTCTCTCATTAACCCCATTGTCACTTTTGGATTCAGAAACAACCCCCTTATCTTCTTCTTGTTTCAGACTCTTTTCTTCACTTTCAATGGTAGACCTCTCGACAACAATCTTTTCTGAAGAATATTTCTCACCCGCCTTTTGTTTTGAATTATTCATTAACTTAGACCCATCAATCTCTTCATAATCATCGTCATCAACATCCAAACTAAATTCATCCTCTTCTTCCTCCTTCTCCTCCTCTACCGAAATTGACCTCTTATTAACAAGCCTAGCTCTTGCCTCCTCTGCTTTCTTAATCTTACAAACCCAATAAAAATACCGACACCAAAAGGTCTCGCGATCAACCCTATTGGGAACAACCTCATTATAAATCTCTTCAATCATCCCATTCTCTTCAATCAAATCATCAATCTCTCATTCTTTCTCATCCAAATTAAACCGCAAATCCCACTTATAGTACTCCTCTAAATTCTCCAGTTCCTCGCAATACGTATTCAAATCACATTGAATTTTGTAAATTTGCACATCAAACCTACTATACGGTCTCGAATTCTTCAGATTCTCAAATTCTTTAGAATCACCAGCAAGAAGAACAGAGTCCTTATTACCGTGACATACGATCTCGGAGACTCTGTTCCCAAAATTAAGGGCGAATTCCTGAATCAGGGCGGTCTCGTTCCTCAGTCCGGAGGCAAATTGCTTGAGATAACGATAGTAGATCTCGATCAGAGACTTGGATTTGGAAGCTAGGGTTTTGATGAGGCGGTCACCAAAGGACCACACATTGGTGATTGATGAAATTGAGGGGTCGTTTGATCGGGAATTGGGTGGTGGGGAGGAAAAAGAGGTGTGTGGGTCGTCTAAGGAGAGAGAATTGAAGAAATTCATGGAGAGAGAGAGTAGGGTTTGAATTTGAAGCAATGAGAAATTAACTAGGGTTTGAAGACAAGTGAGAAGAAGAAGAAGAAGAAGAAGAAGAAGAAGAAGAAGAAGAAGAGGAGAGTGAGTGTTTTCAAATTTGTATGTTTGTGTGAGTGGGATGTATATATAGATGTTGATATTCAGCTCAAGTAGGACTTGAAAGCGTTGGCGTGCAGGACTCTGTCAGAGAACTAGTTAAGGTCGTTTTAGGTTTGGATTCGAACAAGTTTTATGTTTCACTTTATGTACTTTTTAGGTTGACTTTAAACGGAATTTTAATAGATTTAGGTTTTAGTAATTTAATAAATTTTTCTTAGCAATACATATGATTTTAGAATTAATTACTTAAAAATCTTATTTACAAATATTATAATAATTCAGATTCTATTTAAGTTTTTTTGAATCAATAAATCTTATTTAGTAAAACTAATAATATTATCAGTTTTTCTCAATTTTTAAAATTAAAAATATTATCAATTTTGTATAGTAATGTTCTAAATAATTGTTTGACTAACTGATAAAAAAACAGAGCATGAGATTAAATGTTTTTGTCTTTTTACTTGTTGGTTTGATTCAACTATCTAATAAATTCGAGAACATTATCAGTTTTTTCAATTTTACAGTCATTTATTTATTATTATTTTTTTAGTTTTGCACATCAATATTCCATCATCATACTCTTTTATAGGAGAAATTGTTAGTTTTGCACAAAAAATAATTCAGTTTATTAGTTTTTTTCTTTTTTGCACATAATTTTTTTTAAAAAAATTTCAATTTGAAAGTTGATATTTTAAAATTTTGAAAATCAAAATAAGTGTCAAATCATCATGTTCTTTTATAAATAATCATAAATTATGAATAATTATTATTTGAATGACAATTACAACTATTAAAATTTAATAACATTTACAAATCTAAAAAATCTTAATTAAAACTTAATAAAATATAAATTCATAAATAAATACTTGTGTGAAAATACCCGTAATTTTATCAAGCATAGACGATGAATATGCTTTTAAAAATAGTTTTTTTTTTTTTGAGACAAATGTAATAAAATAAAATAGTTACAATTATCAAATCAGTCTAATTTTTTTATAAATGATATATACAAAAAATTTCAAAATTAACGATTCTGATTATCAAAACGAAACCTATAAAGTCTAACATACCCGAACGAAACTGAAGGCAAGCCCACTCATTTTATTATGTAATAAGTTATTAAATTCAACTTAAAAATTTAACAATTTTTATAATATATTTAAATTTAACTTATTTACATAATAAATTAATTAATTCTTAGCAAGTTAATTACAGGTCAAACTCAAGTTAACTTGACTCATTTTATTCATACAAAAAAACCTTATGGTGATATAATGAGAGGAAAAGAAAATTTTCTGTTTAACAAAAAAATTATGTTTTATACGCACGTTTTCAAAATGAATAAGAACACCCATTTTTATTGAAAATTGTTTTCAAAACAAGTCACCGCCTTTAAAATGGGATTGCATCCTGATAGTGCCCTCCGCAGCTCCTTGACCAGACGGCCCCCAAAAACAGTCTGGTCGTTAATGAAGAAAGTCGAGGAATACTGCAAAGTGAAAGATAATGCCCTGCGGGTCAAAGCCAAGCACAAAGCCAATAAGACGGCCCCGTCTAAAATCGTGCAGCCGATAAACGCTATACCACCACAGAGCCCTGAATCACGGAATCGGGCTGAACAAGACAAAAGACGGGATTCGCGCCGATCAAATGACCAATGCTCACATCGAGCTAATGAGCAACTTCAAGTGAATAGCAGGCGCATAAGGCGCGCAGACAAGAAATACACGGAGTTATCAGAGCCGATCAGTACGGTTATGTCTAAAGTTCAACACCTCCCATTCTTTAAATGGCCACCCAAGATGGTGGGACCTCCTGACACGAGGAGACGGGATAGGCGGTGTAAATATCACAAAGACCACGGTCATGACACCGACAGTTGTTATGCGTTGAAGGACCACCTTGAGGAGTTGGTGCAAGACGGTCGGTTTATGCAACACGTCCGAAAGAACAATTCAACAAAAACAGTAGCTTTACGGCAGGATTCACCTCACTCGGCGTAATTCATATGATATATAGCTTGCCGACGGCATCCACGGTACATACAATTCAGTTGCAGCCTAACCCCCAAAAGCAAATCACACTAGCGAAACGGCTCCATGAAGCTGCGAATATTAGTTTCGATGATTTTGATTTGGTCGGCGTAACGCTCCCCCACACTGATCCCTTAGTCATTGAACTACACGTAAACCAATTCACCGTTGAACGTGTTCTCATTGATTAGAGAACTACTTCAGAAGTAATATACTACAAGACCATCGTTAAACTCGGCTTCACTAAGTCCGATCTGTCTTCGGCTGATTACCCATTATTCGACTTCAACGTTAATCTGGAATATCCTTTAGGCAAAATCACACTACCAATTCGGGCAGGCTCCCGATCAGTGGACGTAGAATTTCTAGTTGTCAAGCTTCCTTCGCTGTATAATCTCATTATGGAACGAACCTGGTTGCATACCATGCAGGCCGTGCCAAGCACCTATCATCAACTACTTCGCTTTCCAACTGAACACGGCATAGAGCAAATTCGAGGTTCCCAGAAATCGACGCAGGCATGTTATCTTCTTACTGCGAAGACACCAAGAGAGCTGGAAGTAAATTCAATTAAGGTGCCGGATCGGGAAAGCCTCGACGATGTTGGGCAGCTCCCAAGTGAAAAGGCAACCGAAGCCCTGGATAGGGTTGAAATTGACGGGATCCTGACAAGTTTTTCATGATCGCCGCTTCCCTAAGTAAAACTGACAAGCAAGAGCTAATATCCTTCTTACTCGGCACCCTTGATGTATTTGCATGGTCACCATATGAGATGTCGAGGGTGGATCCATCCATGTCACAGCACCGCTTAAACGTTGATCCAAAATATAAGCCAATTGTTCAGAAAAGCCGACAGTCAGCCGCGGAGCATACTACTGCCATTGTTGAAGAAGTTGATCGATTACTTGATGCCGGGGCAATCCGCGAAGTGACCTATCCTACATGGCTGTCGAATACTGTGGTTGTAAAGAAGAAAAATGGAACTTAGACGTGTTTGTGTGGATTTCACGGACTTAAACAAAGCTTGTCCTAAGGATTACTTTCTCCTCTCATGAATAGACCAACTCGTAGATGCAACTACATATCATCAACGTATGAGCTTTCTAGATGCCTATAGAGGTTACCATCAAATTGTCATGCATCCGAAGGACCAAGAAAAAACTGCATTCCTCAGCCCAAGAGGAACCTATTGCTATAAGGTCATGCCTTTCAGGCAGAAGAATGCGGGGGCAACCTACCAAAGACTAGTGACTGCTATGTTCAAAGAGCAACTCGGCCGTACCATGGAAGTACACATCGACGATAGGGTGGTCAAGTCCAAGGAAGAGCAAACTCATCTAGCCGATCTGGAAGAGACATTCGGCATTCTTTACAAATACAAAATGAAGCTGAACGCTTCCAAATGTGCAGTTGGCATCGGATCCGGCAAATTCCTTGGCTACATTGTTAACCACTGCAGAATCGATGCCAACCCGAGGCAAATCACAGCAATTCTAGAACTTGGCTCTCCTCGGTCGGTCAAAGAGGTTAAGAAGCTAATGGGAATGGCCGCCGCACTCAACAGGTTCATTAATCGTTCCACAGATCGCTACCGACAATTCTTTCATACCCTTCGGCAAGGTAAAGCTTTTGGATGGACCCCCGAGTGCGAAGCTGCCTTGGACGGTTTGAAGACTTACCTCCGATCAGTTCCACTCTTGGCAACACCTTCGGCAGGTGATCCACTCATTTAATATCTGGTAGTTTCCGACCAGGCAGTCAGTGTCGTGCTGTTAAAGGAAGAACTTGGGAAACAGCGACCAATTTACTATGTGAGCAAAGCAATGATTGACACCGAAACACGTTACCTTCCGTTGGAAAAACTCGTCCTTGCTCTCGTCATGGCAGCAAGAAAACTGATGCATTACTTTCAGGAGCATACCATTGGGGTACTAACGGACTACCCCCTCCGGTTAGTGCTCCATAACGCTGAAGCATCAGGGCGCGTTTCAAAATGGGCTCTGGAACTCGGCCAGTATGATATCTAATTTCTACCCAGAACCTCAATCAAGGGGCAAGTGTTTGCCGACTTTGTTGCCGAATTCAATGGGTGTCTCGCCGACTTTAAGTCTGATCAAATTCAATTTAAGCTGAACTAGAGAATATACGTTAGGGACATTTGGCAGTTGTGCTGTGACGGGTCATCCAACCAGTGTGGTAGTGGGGCCGGCGTAGTGATCATGTCTCCCGACGGGGCAATAATTGAGCAGGCTGTCAAACTGGACTTCAAAGCATCAAATAATGAGGCCGAACACGAAGCATTGTTAACCGGCTTACGGAATGCACTTCTCCTTGGTGCTCGGCGTTTGTTTATCTTCTGATACTCAAAACTAGTCATCAACCAATTGAAGGGGGAATACGTAGCCAAAAATGACAGTATGGCAGCCTTATGCATGACCTATTACAAATTTCATACGAATTATGTATTTACAATCTATTGAAGGAAACATCTTATTTTGAATGTCTCTATATTGTTTCAATTATTGTTCGTAAAATAAGTCATGACCATCGATTATTGTTAATCGCATTTGCGGCGGCCAACTGGGACGTCGACGAAGCGCTTCGATTCCAGATGTTTATTCGGCCCAACCGTGACATACACGGAAGGGGCTCCGAATTCGGAGGCTTTTATCTTGGCCAATCGTAATATCCACGAAGGG